ACACACACACACAACCACTGTCGAACTGGCTGCAGTGCATGTTCCACTGCTAGGTCATATACCAGAGAACACATGGCGCCTGCTGTACACACACACACACAAACCGAGTGGCTGAAGCTGAGCACCCAGCCAAAGCAGAGCATGGCCAAAGTACATGGAGGATAAGCGGACACTGGCGTCAGTGCGCGTCTGCCAGTGGCAGCAGTAGTAGTGCCCTAGCACCACCACCAGCACTAACTGCCCACTGGACCACTGTGTCGGCTGCAAAGAGCATTAATCTGCTTTCTCTCTCTTACCCGAGCTGTACTGTAAGGGCGCCTTCACCACCAGAGTCTCTCCCGCTTTGGCACTGCTGCACCCAGCTCAATTGTGATCGATTAGCAGTGGCTTTCACTTACAACTTACAACTTTCCTGTCTGGCCGCTGCTGCTGCTGCCACATTAGTGGCCTAATTATCCCTGTGAAGCGGACGCATTTATCAACAGTCGATTCTTTCTAGCAGCGCGACCAAGTGTGCCTCTTACGAACAAAACTGCTGCCGCTGACGGCGCACCAGAGAGGACTCCACAGCACATGCACTCCCTTCCAAGGAAGAACAGGAACAGCTCCGCCGTTAACGAGTGCAGTGTGAGAGAGCTTCGGCTTATCATTTAAATTAGCCTTGAGATAGGTTTATTCTTCTGGAACAAGATAAGAACATGAATTAGTGAAAGGGGAACACCATGTTCATTACATCGTTTTCAGTACATTGTGACAGCGTTGGTTGGTGGAAAAAATCAATTTCGTCATTGAATAGTTGAGAGCGAAAATGAGTTTTTCCTTAAAAAATTGAGAAGTAAAAACTCCTTTATCCTCTTTGCGCTTTGTATTTCGGTGCTAGGGACTGCCGCTGGCTGTTATCCAAGCGGCGGAGGATTTTCCGAGAGGACTGCCTTCATCGCTTTTAGCACTTAGGCGGTCTGGCTCCATTTTCTTGTTCTCATCAATATCCATTTCGACGGACATTCGATCCTCGGGAAGATCATTTACCCGTTTGTCGTTAGGGCTCTTTGATCGCGAACGCGAGCGCGATGATCGTCGGTCCTTGTCGCGCCGCCGACTCTTGTCCACCACCGCTTTCCGTTCAGAGTCACGACTTCTTTCTCTTTCTTTCCGGCGACTACGTTCCCGTTCACGGTCTTTACTTCTGCGCTCCCGACTATGGTCACGGCGAGATCTTTCCCGGTCTCTACGCTCCCGTTCCCGCTCTCTTTCTCGTTCGCGCTCGCGTTCTCGATCCCGTTCTCTTTCCCGCTCGCGTTCTCGGTCGCGGTCTCTTTCCCGATCCCGACTTCTTTCAGGGCTTCGACGACTGCGGTCTCGATCTTTGGATCGTTCCCTAATTCGCCTGTCTCGACTTCGGTCTTTCCCATAAACTGGCGAAGGAGATCTTTTTCTTTCAGCTGATCTACGGCGTTCACGAGAGCGAGATCGCCGGCGACGGTCACGTGGAGGAGAGGGAGTAATTGATCGTCGTTTAGATCGATGAGGAGAACGAGATCTTCGTGATTGTGATCTACTTCTTCTACTAGTAACTGGTGACTCTTTGGAGCGTGATTTGGGGTCTTGAGCTTTGATATTATCTACAAAAATGAGATGAAATTGTAGTTTTACTTTAAATAATTACAAAAAAAGATTACCGTTTCCGTTTCCATGGGTTATGTTGTGATGAGGTTTCAAGATTCCACTATTTGAATGATTAATACTGAAAATAAAAACAATTGGTCAGAATGTATATTTGTATTTTTATTTAAAAAATACCTTATTAAAGATCCATTCAAGTTTATTCCAGTACTTTGAAGAGCATTTGCGACGCTCATTTGATCGGTAAATTCAATCAAAGCCGATTTAATTAGATCTGTTTCATTTGAAGTCATTCGAAGGTACTTTACTTCGCCAAACTGATTGAAAAATTCCAAAATCTGTTCAGGCGTCGACTAAAAGTAAAATGAAATGGTTGAGCGAATAAAGATAATAAAACAAGACTAACATATTGAGAAATGTTTGACGCTGAAACGGTCCTTCTGATTTCTTCAATTTTGGCTGGGTCCAAGTTGGCCGGTAGTGGTGGATATTGAGGTAGGCCAAGAGCGTTCAATCGAGGATCAATAGTAGTTATTGATTGTGTTCCATTAACATTGGCCACCTAATAAAGCAAAAAAGCCGAACATTGACTTTATTTTTACCATAAAAGACATTGCTCGAGACTAACCTGGCTGACAACACCACTATTGCTGCTGTTTTGAGAGTGGCCTTCACTGGCTAACTTTAGAGCCATAGCTTCATCAGGTATTCGACCTAAAATAAAATCAAGTTGATCGACACGAGTGCACTGTGACTCAGTTCATCACTTACCATCGTGAACAGGCCTGACCATAATAGCTCTGTCAATGAAGACCGTGTTCGTGAGATGCTCTGCCACGCAAACATTGATTGGGTCTTGGTAACGCACGTAGCATACTCGGGTCACTATTTGTGATGGATCGCTGTTTTGATGGGCAATTAAGGAAATTAAAAATGAAATCGAGTTGATGCGGTTCCAATCAACTTACTTTGTGGGATAGACAACAAACTCGCGAATGGTGCCAATGGAGAGTAAGGTCCGCAGCTGTTCGGTGGTGGCGGTGGGGGCGATGTTGGTGACGACGGCCAGGTCCTGGATCTTGCCGAAACCCATTGTGACTGACAACTACTAGGGAATTCCGGCAAAAAGTCGGTTGTTTCAGAATCAAATCGACTCTACTTTTCCCAAATTGTATTGTGCCGCAAACAGCGTGGGACGTCATCAGGTGACGACGTTACTCTACAGCAACTGAGAGTGGTGGGCTGGCAGACAGTGCCCATTCAGGTGCCACTGTGACTTTGCTTTGATTTGGCTTTTAGGTTGTTTACATTTTTTGGACGGTGATAATCTCTGGCGGTGATTGCCACTTTTGCTGTAGCTAATTGTCCTACCAGCTGTTCTAACACCGTTCCACAATGTTGCTAGGCACCTGTCAGTAAATCCAGGCGACTCGCTACTAGTCGAGTACAACTCTGAAGAATCTCGCCTTACAGGACGACGTCTGACGAAGTAACTGTCTAGACGGATTTCCACTTGTAATCTGTTGCTTGATTTCAACTGCCTCAACTTGTGTCAACTGTGCATTCGACTGACAATTTCCTCAATGGAACAGCCTACCAGTAAACATGAACTCAGCTGAGCACGAAGACAGTTTGGCTAATGACTTTGTCATGGCCCCTCATTGCAGTTCAAGTTCACCGGAAGGAGGTACGATGCTCCAGACAAAGGCGTCATTCTCCTCATTTTGGAACAACATCAGATATGGTTAGAATGTGATTGGATGACGCAGTTAGAGTTATTAATCTCTATTTTTTAAACACAATATTTTAGAGTTTCAAGGCAAGTTTGGCACGAAATTCAAGCCAAATTTCGATAATCCCATCTGTCTTCATGGAAAATTGTATCATTTGAAAATGTTTGATTCCAACAGTTATACGGATCAAAAGTTGTGCGCACTGCATGTATATGAAAAGTTTAAACATGATTTTTATAGTCAAATATGGTTCACTTACCGAAAAGACTTTCCTCGCCTGATCGATTCAAGTTTGACCTCTGACGTTGGGTGGGGGTGCATGATTCGAAGTGGCCAGATGATCCTTGCACGAGCCCTAGTTTTACATCTTCTGGGGAAAAACTGGCGATGGAAAGGCCCTGATCATGATGATCCTATACACCGAATGATTGTTACGTGGTTTGGTGATTCTCCTGACTCGAAACTCTGTCCTTTTTCAATTCACCAGTTTGTGAAGTTTGGCTTGAAGCAAAATCGCCAAGTAGGAGAGTGGTTCGGTCCATCTTCGGTCTCCTATGTACTTCAGAGTGCTCTTGAAAGTGGGGCGAGAGAGAATCAGTTTCTAAGAGACATCACCTGTTACGTAGCTCAAGACTGTACAGTGTACAAGGAGGACATTCTCGATGCTCTGTGCCAGGACAATCCGGGCAATGTAGCCGAAGGGAGCGTCTCGCGTAGCTGGCGAAGTGTGCTCATACTGATTCCAGTTCGATTGGGAGCAGAACGATTCAATTCGGTCTACTCGTCGTACATTAAGGAAATTCTATCACTACCAACGTGCGTCGGTATGTTTCGACATTTTTATGCTGGCTAAAAGCTTTTAAATTAAATATGTTTTTTCACTTACTGTTCAGGTATTATCGGTGGCCTGCCTCGACACTCGCTCTACTTTATTGGATTTCAGTCGGATAAACTGCTATTCTTAGATCCACACTATTCGCAGAAAAGCCTTGACTTTACTGACAGCCATGTCCTGCTTGACTCGTATCACTGTCCGCAGGCAGCACGCAAGGTGAAAATGTCTCAAATAGATCCAAGCTGTGCAATTGGATTTTTCCTCAAGTCAGAGCGGCAGTACAATGAGTTTGTGGAAACCATTGAGCAGCTTCAGGAGCGAACTCGCCAGGCAGATGACTACCCCATGTTTGTGCTTAGTCCCGGCAGACAAGTGCAGGGGGAAAGCGATGTGCCCGCGCCGGATAATGTATTTCGAATGAACTACCAAGTGGTCAACTCCAAAGGCAGCGTTCAAAAGGTGACCACGGAAGAGTTTGTGCTGCTGTAGACACACCACCGAACAGAGATGACGGTACGTTCCACTCCCTTAGCCCTTCCACTATTTCCTATCCTCTTATCTATTGTTTTTATGACTTTAACTTTGATATTTTTACAATGCAATATTTCTAGAATGTTTATAATTTGTGAATAAAAATGCCAGTTTTCAAAAGTGCAGGCAGGCAGGCAAGTGCCTCTTTGCTGCCTTGGTAATTTCTGCAGCCCCAGTGAGTGCGCGTGACGCGTAAAGTGTCACTAACTCATTTTACAATAGGCCGCAGGCGGCAGTGCAGGTCGGAAATGACGGGGAAGCAGTGCTGCTGGTGAAGAGGCCATAAAGAGCAGCAGAGTTACGGAGAGAGAGAGAGGGAGAGAGAGAGAGAGTTGTCCGTCTGAGGGCTTCCACGCGCTTCCCTAGCACCAAACGAGTGAAAGCGAGTGAAAGTTGGCGGTGGCAGTAGGACAGTTGCTCGGGGCGTACAGACGGCAGTTGGCGGCTGAGTCTGNTTGTCCGTCTGAGGGCTTCCACGCGCTTCCCAAGCACCAAACAAGTGAAAGCGAGTGAAAGTTGGCGGTGGCAGTAGGACAGTTGCTCGGGGCGTACAGACGGCAGTTGGCGGCTGAGTCTGCACTCCGAGTCCCGTTGGCTACGGCGGCGGCAAAGTGAGATCTAGATCACTAGGTCCCCGCTAGTCACTAGTGTTACTAGGTCTGCGGCAGGTCAGAGGTCAGACTGTCTGCTTGTTAGCAGTGCCGACGAGGGAGGCTGTAGGCGCTGTGCGGCACTCTTCAACACCCAACCCATTCTTAACCTAATTTGCGCTGTTCCCGTTCACTTTTCTTCTTCTTTGGAAAAAGCAGGGTAACGCTACTTTGGACGGCAAAGACGGTCTTTTCCTGTTCTTACAAGACAAGCTTCCAGTTTGCAACTGGTCAGACAGACAGTGAATGGGAGAAGCAGAAAGAGGGAAAAAAGAGGGAGAGTTAGATAGAGAGTGGATGAGTGAGTTGTGTTTCCTCTGAGCAGCATTCGTCGGACGGGTTTCCAATCGCTTTTACTTTTTGCTCATTTAGGCTGTTTGCTTTCACTAGTTCCTAGTTCTTAGTTGTTTAGTTTCCCGGTCTAGTGGCTGCGATTCGCTATGCACCGTCTCTGAGTTGGCATTTGAGAAGATCCCGGCATGTGAGCGTCCATTATAAACATAAGCCTTTTGCCTGGACAGTTATCAGTTATGGTATGAAGTCTGCATTTGCTGGAAGTGCCTCCACACAGCATGCCTTCAGTGCAGAAAAGGAAAGTCAAAGGAAGGGAAAGTGGCCTTCGCCAGGGCAGCTCAGATGGGAAACGTTATTCCGCACTAGTCAACGTGAGACGGCCAGAGACGAGCTGCACCGAGCAACCGCCGCAAGCTGTTGGCCATATCGAATGGTTCGTTAGTGATTGCGGTAAGACAGAAGAGAAGGCGAAGAAGAGGCAAAAGACAGTGCTCCACCGAGGGACATTATTAGAAACATTAACGAGTGGACTGTCCTGACTGATGGCTGACTAAGTGTGCGAAGGAAGAGGGAGGCAGAGGGAGGCCAGTGCTCAGGCAGCCTGAGAAAGCGAAAGTGCCTGTGCTCAGCTAAACAACAAATTGGCCTTGGATCTTCCTTCCCTCTCTCTTGCCTAACACCGATTACCCTTTGTGGACCAGTGGTGGAGGAGAGGGAAGACGAAGGCACACGCTGCGAGAAAAGGCAAACTAACTTTGCTGGGTCAGTCGCTAGTGCTCACTGGTAATCGGTGGAAGGTAGTGTGAAAGGGAAGGAGACTGCTGAAGAAGNGTGCTCAGCTAAACAACAAATTGGCCTTGGATCTTCCTTCCCTCTCTCTTGCCTAACACCGATTACCCTTTGTGGACCAGTGGTGGAGGAGAGGGAAGACGAAGGCACACGCTGCGAGAAAAGGCAAACTAACTTTGCTGGGTCAGTCGCTAGTGCTCACTGGTAATCGGTGGAAGGTAGTGTGAAAGGGAAGGAGACTGCTGAAGAAGAAGAAGAATGGCAAAGAGTGCCATTAGCGGTGGACCATCAGGCAATTAGCGCTGCCAGTGATCACAACGTTTGGAATCGCGCAGCGCCAGTCGCTATGGTAGGCATTGTGTTGGACAGCCACTGCAAATGCGACGACTTTGAGGCGCAATTGCACGATTGGTGGTGGTGGTGGTGTTGGCCAATTCTCCTCCTTCAGTGCAACTTGTGCGCCTGCAGTTGATTACTCCCTCGGTGCGCTGACTGAGCCTCCTTTGTTCTGTCTCGCATCTCGGTCCTTGACGGCATCTCTACGGCGGTGGCGACCACTGCAGTGTCGGCAGCCATGAACCACCAGTTGCTCGGCAGTAACCTGTCTTCCCCTCCTGTTTCTGGCTGTTCATTCAAGAATGTCCATTGCGATCTCTTCTCTCTGCTCTACGACGTAATCTCGCTCTCACTCTCCCTCTCTCCTGCCTTGGCCTGCGCTGTTCCGGCGGACTTTGCTGCTCTCGCCTTCTTTGTCTCTTTTACCAGTGTTGCCGATTCTCTTTATCGCCGAAGAACAGGTTTCGAACTGTGAAAGTGG